CGTGCGTGCGTGCGTGCGTGCGTGCGTGCGTGCGTGCGTGTGTGTGTGTGTGTGTGTGTGTGAGGGACAAAATTCTTAAAACTTGCTCAAGCTGAACCACTTGAATTTTCTAAAAAAATGTGTTTATATGCATTAGAAAATCCTCCAGAAGTGTTTAGCTGTGAATCTCCCAAAATGTCACATCATTTCTTAGCTCCCCAGGGAGGCTAAAGTGTGAGGCCTTCATGCTCTGATATACGCTCATAAAATTTTTATGAAGCTGGCAAATTTCTCTGAACACCCCCACCACCATCACCACCACCACCACCACCACCTTTATCCTCCCCCCACTCACAACAGTGCGCCATGGAGGGCGAGTGTTTCCTCTCATGTACTCATCCTTTCACTTCATTATCTCTCCTTCCTCAGTCACCAAGGACACAGCTCCAGCCCTCGCCTTCTTTTTTTCCTCCTCCAACAACAACAAGGTCTCCCAGGTGGAGCATCATGTGTTGCTATCTTCCTCTGGCCCTTTCCCAACTCAATTGCCTGCATATTTTCCTTTTCCTTCCTCTCTTTTGCTTTTGCAGTCCACACCAGAGGAAACGGGAATTAGAAATGTCTAGAAAAAATATTTCTACTTGCTATGATAAGAGGAAAAAAACATAGTAATGAGAATTTTTTTTGAAAAGCAATAACAAAAGACTGAGCAAAGATAAACAAATTTATTAAGTCAATCAAGAGGAAATAAGCAACTATTTTAATCATCAGTTAAATTTATGAAATAGTATTTAATTAAATGCAAAATATTCCAGGTTTTCCCATTCTCAGCATGTTCTACGTCTTTACTTTATATCCAGATCATTTAAGAAAGTTCAGAGAACACCAGTATAATCTGATGTCTCTTATGAAACGATGCATGAAACCGCATGAACTGCTGCAGGTGTTTTATTGAGTCAGTTTTCAAATGACTGTCTGCAAATATATAACCAAACCACKTTGAAATATAAAAATAATAAACCCAAATGCAAGGTGATTCATTTATGAACAAGAAAAACTGTTAATACAGCTATTAAAAAATGTAACAATCAAACTCTCAGAAATATCTCCTAATCCTTACCTCAAGAATGCCTTTGGCACAGCAGTTGTGTTGACTTCTTGTTACCTGTACAAAACCAAAGGATAGACACATTGTAGAAAAAAAAAGTTAAACAGCACAGGAAGTTAGGTCTGACAGCTGATAGGGTGATGTGTGACACCTCAGAGCAACTTTCAAATTCAAATTCAAAATGCAACACATTTGATTTGTGCGTGCTGTGCTGATGAAAGTTAGCCGAGCTGCAGACATTTAAACAATAATCAAACACAGTAGTTTGTTTCCGGTTAAAAGTTTTGCTCACTGCTAACTTCCACTCACTTATTTCTCTTGCACGCACCTTCCCGCCTTTTCTTTTTTCAGTGTGTGCATTCATAACGTACCGCTTTACTGTAACTCCCACCTTCACACACGTCCAGTAATAGTGAGAGTCGAGACGACTTTGAAGCTCATGCATGACTCATAGAAATCACAGCTGCCAATACTGATGCAAGTCACTTTTGTTTTCTAATTCACGAGGCAAAAGTCCTTTTTTGAGTTGCTGATGAGTCAGACCATGATTATGGAGCTGAGAACATCCCCAGAAACATTTCCATCAGGTGAACAGCTGTTTTGTGTGGAGTCAAATGACTTTGCTGCAGACATCAGCAGCAAATATACAGTATTGTTCCTAATTGTTTTTTATCATACTTCAAACCTTTTTTTAACGTAACTTGTATTCAAAGCTTGATGATATCTTACATATTTGTTGTTTTAATTCTGTCATCATCTTAAAAATGTGTGCATGCATGCAAAACTGACTATCTATCTATCTATCTATCTATCTATCTATCTATCTATCTATCTATCTATCTATCTATCTATCTATCTATCTATCTATCTATCTATC